GGAAACCTCGACAGTTCTTCGTTTTATGTGGATCAAGCTAGTTTCTTAATACTCATCTCTTAACTTTATCTAAAACATTTACAGGGAAAACATAGAAAAAAATCACTATATACTTATCTGTATTTGTACAGTAGAGTTTTACCTCGATTTATCACTCTGGGTTACAAGCCCATCGACCCGCATTCCTCTATTAGTTAGATGCGACCTCTTCGTTTTTAAATATTTTGTTTCAGATAAGTGAAGTGTGTAAGAGACATATTTAGCCTACTTAGCTTCCTTTGAAATATTAAGCAAGCATAGACTTTTAGAATTAGTAAGTTAATATTAAACTGAAAGTCAACATCAAACGGTCGCTGATTCAAGACTCCTTCCGCGTCTCAGGGTTCACCGCCGCCGAAGAGCCGCTGCCCTGCGTTCCGCGCGACTTCGGCTTCGGTTCCGTGGTGTGCGTGTGCAATGCCACCTACTGCGACACGCTCCCACCCCCCGCCCTGCCCGCCGTCGGGGAGGCGCTCGTGTTCACGTCGGACATCGAGGGCGCCAGGTTCCTTCGGACGCAGCTCTCCTTCTCAGATAGTCAGAATGGTGAGTCATATTTGTCATTCGAATGAATCTCACATAAGGTGCCTCGAACTGATATATGTGGATTATTTTCGCCGTGAGGAAGCGAGTGACTCCTGCCTTCCAGACACGGGAGCTGACGTCGCCCGCTTCGCGCTGGAGTCGACGGCCTTCCAGACGGTGATTGGCTGGGGAGGAGCCTTCACGGACGCCGCCGCCAGGAACATCCTCGACCTGTCGCCGGATGCTCAGGACCGACTCCTCAGGTGCTGATAGGACGCGTGCAAGGTTCCGCTCCTCGTGTTCCTTACCCTTTCTTTCCCCAAAAAGCAAGATGTGCGCGGCATCGGAGGGTTGAGACCACATGCATGCTGTCCCAGTGGTCTTTTATAACGTCTTTACCATAATTTTCCTTCAATAGCATGATTTTTTAAACGTTTTTTATGACTCCATTCTTACTATTATGATATTGTCATTAGTTTGCACCGATTTCTCACATTTCACAGTTACTGTGTTTATACCACTTTTAGCTTGGAATTTGTTATTCTAGTAACAAAAGAGATTATATTTAGTGTTTTCGTCAATGCTACATGATTAATAGACTTACTTGTAACATTATCTTCCCGCAACATATACACTTTATTTTTTTTCTTGTGTCAACGAGTACGAAAGCCTGGCAGTGTCCATTTCCTCTCACACCAGACAAACTTTCTCCGTCGGAACTTGATAAACTTTACTAACTATATTCATGTTAAGTCTATCTACCTTTTCACAACTTCCGTCTCGCTGATATCCTTT